ACACAGCAATATTCATCATTTAAAAATTGGATTATCCAAAGAGAGCACCAAAATCGTTTATTCTACTGCAAGGCGTCTAAGAACGTATAAAATAAAGGTAAGCTGCTTTTTTCTCATTTTATTTTCATTTCGTTCAACTCGGCTCAACCGTACACAAAATATGATTTTTTACCTATTTCCTCATATGTCCGATTCACTGTGCGGCGTATTCTTTTATTCCCGTTATAATAGCTACAATGCATATTGTAAACAACACTATCAAAGTCTAATGCTTTTTGTAGTGAACCAAACCCACGTTGACTGAGTGTTCTGTAATCTGTAGGAAAAAGTACTAAGTTCTTGGTGTTATTATTTTTACAATTTAAAGTGGGGCAATAGTTTTTTTTCAAAGACACTCGGTTCATCTGCAAAAAGTCGAGTCCAGAGTGTATTTATATTATCCTGACAAAAAATTGTTCGTGATAGGTATAGCATGACAATTTTCTTTTTCAATTTTTCCTTGAAGTATTTTTGTAGATAGGATATAGAATCTTAAATCTCTTTTTATAAATATAGTCATTTGAACCATGATTTTTAAAGTCGCTTAAAAATTTAAAAACAGAATTTTCTGAGTTTTGACTCATTTCCAAAAAATTGGTATCTTGAAAAGTACATTCATAAAGTATGTGTACAATAGTGTCAAAAGGACAAGTATTTTGAATCAACCAATCGCAACCTTTATATGGTATAGCTTTACATTTAAAACCATTATGCAACAAGAAATTTTTTTTCCTCACAGATTTTTTCGGAAAATTTACTAAATTATTTTGTAACTTAATTTCTAAACAATCATTGAAATATTTACCGGAGTTTTTTTTTTCTAGCAACTTGATTAACAGCAACTGATAACGGAACTTTTCCTTTTTTATGAACTGCTATTTTCATATTGATCACTGAGTTTTCACCAATACTTTGAATCTCAATATTAGAAGTGTCATTTTTAATATTATCATTATTGAGCTTCATTTTATCAAGATCATTATTATTTACGTCGTCAAAATTTACATCTATTTCGCTAGGAATAGTATAAATAGTTTCTGAATCCGATGAAGCATCATTAAGATCACAAATTTCCGTAGTCATCCAATTAAACTCATTTAGTTCATTATTTTTTTCTTTTCCCTTCTAATTTTCGAATGGATATTTTTAATTTTTTTTTGTCAGTTATGTGACTCAAATTATCATATAAATAATTATCAGCTCCTTTTTTTTTGGTATTCTTAAGATTGTTAGTAATATCATTTTCACCCGAATTTAGATATAAATCAATTGAATCTTCATCAACATCAGGATCAACTGTATCTGATCGAACTAATTTTAATTCACCATATTTTTCTTCTTTGTCTTCTTCTTGTATTTCACTTAAATCGCAATTAAAGTTATATGTATGACTTTTTTCAGAATTATTTTGGTTATCGGCGATAAATTTTGTCATTTTCAATCTTAGTAAACGAACTCCTCCAATCAGATAATCAAGAAAAGAATATACATCTGTTGGTAAAGGAACTTGATGTCCTAAGGCCATCTTCAAGTCTTTAAAGTCTTCTTCAACATAACTTGATGTTGCTCGTAAGTCAGAATGCATTGCTCCACAAGGGGAACTCCATGGCTGCTGCTATAATTGGTTTCTCCAGTGGAGGAAGAAAAAAACCGTGCAATTTTTCACCTTGTTGTATAATATTTTTTGATATTTTTAATATGTTAGTCATCCAGGTTGAAATAGGTAACGAATCTTTTTCAGTTCCTTCAGATGGAGTATTCAGAAATATATTTTTTTTAGAATCTAAATCCATTTTTTCTATTTCCACAGTTACATTTGACAAAAAGTTTTCCATGCCTCTAAATGCTATTAAATTTTCTAATTCTAGTTTCGCAGCTGAAGGAGTAATAATTTCTCCATCATTATCAATCATACTGTCTTCGTGTGCAACATTAGAAACAATTAAAATTAACAAGAGAATGCGTTCAAACATTTTAAATTTACTACAGTCAATTAAAAGACATATACAATAAGTATAGAAATTTTTTACAGATGAATGCAGTATGTTTTTGAAACAATTCCAGCCAGTTATGCTATGTACAAAATGTGCTACATCTAACCTAATATAGGTTTTGTTATCTGTCGATTTTTGTTGACTACAAACATTTTCAAAACATTCTTTAATATATTTTTTTAACGACATATCGTTAAAGGTTATCGACATAGAATTTAATAGAGCACGGGCTCCATCAGAGACAGCTTCATGGGGAGGATTTTTAACCAACCGAATCCATGTTTGCAACCATAATGTAATAATATCAGCATTTTGCTTTTCTGATAAAATTTGAAAAACGGATAATGAAGTTTTGTTGAAATTAATAACAATTTCATAAATAAATATATAAGCACTTTTTTCATGGTCAGAAATTATTTTCCGCACTACTCCTCAAGTTGCATCGATACAAATAGAGGAAATTTTTTTATGTAGACGTCGATATTTGTATTTGAGATTGGGTAGTATAAATAACATAAAATGGTGATTTACCTATCATTTGGATTGAATTTCTATAAACAGGATTCTTCTTAAGACGATCAATTGCTGCAAAAATATCTTTCCGGTCAACCGGTTCATTATCAATAAATTGTTTTTTTGCTTGGTGTAGTACATTTAATTTATAAAGAAAAGGGCATCCAGTATCGCCAGGTCTTAATAGTTTTGTTGCTGCTTGTCTATTATAACCATGCACACCAAGTTCTTGAAGCTTTTTACTTATTGTTTTTCTATTTTCGCACTGAAGCGGCCTTTGTAAATCTTCATGATGCATTACGTCTCGAGTATCACGACATTTAATCTTAATAAAAACAGGGCCGTCTTGATAAAAGATTTCTTCAACATAACCAAGTAAACGATTATTGCATTTTTTGCTTTTACAATGAGCATTGATGGTGAGGTAATTGTTACCATTTACACATATTCTTCCTTTATCGAATATGAATACACATTTCAAATGATATTGCTCCCAAAATGCATAGGCAATTACATCAGTCCAAACTCTTTCTTTCAATTTCAAGTATTGACGATTATTTTTATCGACACTTACTTGAATAATAGTATTCCACAATTCTCTAGAGATTTCTACGTCAAATTCTTCAATTTCACTGATATCATTAAAAAACGCTGAATAGTCGCAGTAAGCGGGATCATTAATTTTATTGTCATCATCACTACTACCAATGCTACTACTATAATCAATGTTTTCACTTTCATTATCATAAATATTTAATTTTGTCTTTACTTCGTCAGTAAAATACCCACATTCCATCAAAGCTATTGTCAAGATGTTTCTTCGATTATTATTAACATTAACGTACAGCGTTTTTGTCCCACTTATAGTCTAACTCTTCCGAAAGTGTTTGCCAAATGCTAGAAGACCACTTTGGTTTTCCTGGCGGAATGAAATGTTTTATGTTTTTTCAAAATATTTACTGCAGCTTCAACAGTGACTCTTGCCTTAGGCCCCATTTAAATTAACAATTACAATCTAAAAAAATAAATTGAATTACTAAACAATAAAAAGGCACCGTTTGTATAAATAACGGCTGTTAAATTTTTTGAGATTTCTAGAATCAAAATCGTGTCCTACGATAACACCATTCCAATTTTCAAGGAAGAGCTAGTCGAGCTAGTCTACCAGCGATTTTTATTATTGGCTACTCACTAATTACTGAAAGTTGGCGTTGATTTTACCTTTTTTTTTTTAAATAATATAATTTACTGGATCGGAGCACATAACCAAACAATACATCACAGATGTCGAATAACAGTTTATTTTGTTGGCGCATGCGCTATGCATATTAAAATTAAAAATAAACTTAAAAAATTTTATTAAAAATATAAAGATAGTCAAACAAACAGTTGCACTGATCGAAACAATAAATAAAATTAATCTGTCGAATGAAAAAAAAGTATCTCGAATCTAAGGCATATTAAAAAAAATATTTTATTTTTTAAAGAATAAACAATATTCGAACAAATAACAATTTTTGACGAACATTTATGAACAAACGACGAACAAATGATTAGTTTATAAAAAAAATTGTAAAAGCTAATTTTCAGTCGCCAGATTCATAGAGGTATTAAAAACTGTTAGCCAAATCAAGATTTGTTGACACAAACTGCAGTTCTGCGTTATTATAGCGATATTCGCTGTAATAAAGCAAAATTGAGTTGCATGAACCAATCTTAACTTGACTAACAGTTTTTAGATAAAAAAAACAAGCATAATCAAAAAATTAATTTATTCTAAATATATATACAAATCCAATTTTATAAAATGTATTATGTATGAAGTAGTTGGCTGCTACATAATCCAGAATACAGCATTGTGTCGCTAACATTATGAAGAATGTTATCTCTAAAACAGAAAACACACTATAAGTATAAAAATGTAACATTAATCAGAAACAATGGCCGTATTCACAGTCATCTAACAGTTTCATTGTATTGGGAATCATACGTTCCTATGCTTTGTGTATACAGTTGGAATGAGATTAAATAAGAATGTTTTTTTTCTCTGAAAGGAATAAATAAAAAAGGATACACACCCACTTAATCACATTTAAAAATATTTTTATTGATGTTTAAAGAAAGCTTTGACTTTAATACTTAACTCTTAACGTGAGAGATGATTCTGATGCACTTTAAGGAGTTTAGCAATTTTGGGCTCAAAGTCACTTAACAGGCGTAAGTCTCCGCGTTCAGTAACATGCAGCCAATTGCTCTTCTTAATTAGCAGGGTTGTTACTGCACTAAATCCACGCTCATATAAATACGATGATGGGAATGCTATTAGGAATCGTTGAACCGTCGACCACAATCCAGGATACAGTTGTGCAACCAAAATTCGTGGTAACCATTTTTGAATTTAATTTTTAATTCCTCGTTTGTTGTCAGTTCTATAAGTTCTTCTTCCAATTGAAATTATCTTACTGTGTCGACATTTGACAAAGGATCTAACACACAGTCTGGTATGTCCATGCTCAAAATGTCCTGGACTCGTTCTTTGAAAACAGCGTGAATATTCTCCAAGTGTTGACCGTAAACAAGCAAGTCATCATTGTTGATGTTGAAAAATATTGCTGATAAACTAGGAAAATTATTAAATTTATGTCTGCCCATATTTCTTTTGTAAAGTTGCAGTTTGGCCACGAAAGCAGCAGCAACATTTTTTGTTTTAATCAAGTTTAAGTCGTCGCCTTGAAGTTGGAGATTAACATCATTAAACAATTTGTAAAGGTCTGTCAAGTAGGCAATATCATGCTTTGATGTGATGAGGTTATCGCGTAATTCCATCTTTGTTTCCCAGGAACTCTATCACAGAATCAAACAGATTGTAAAATCGAGTCAAACAAGTTCCTCTTGATAACTAGCGCACTTTTGTGTGAAGCAATAAACCGTTCGAATCTTCAGCATTGGCAACGCAAAGCTGACTAAATAATCTGTCATTCAGTGAGTTGTTTCTGATCTTATTAACTGCTTTAACCCGGTAACGGTCAGGTAACCAAAAGTTTCAAGATCGGTCAGGTGGGGTCCAATAGACCCTATTTTTTCTAAATGATTTTGGGGCCAAATTTAATTTTTAGATACTTTTTAACAAAGTAGCTTAATTTTTAAATCGTGTTAATAAAAACTATATCAATCATAGCTTAGATGTTGTTTATTAAAAAAAAAATATAATAATTTTACAGTAAAACCTGCTTTTTTAAGCTTTTTTTGAAGTGGATTTCCTTTTTTATTTAGAATTTGTAAAATGAATGCTAAAAAACTATTTTAGTTATTTTTTAGCTTAATAAAACCCTGAATAATCCAGAAAAAAATATCACAAATAAATATGTTAATAATAAATACAAAATTTTATTAACTGATTTTTAGGAAAATATGTTATTTTTTTTATAAAAACTAAAATAAATCCAATGCATTTATATATACAATAAATGTGCTGAAACAAACACTTAAAGAAAAAATAAATTATGAAAAAACTAAATTGCAACTTAAACATTATACAGCAAAAAATAATTGATTTATTCGGAAACAGACGGTGGATTGGCACAAGCTTCGCACTGCATAAAAACATGTTCTAAACAAATTGGAACCTCGCATGAACGGCACGAATATTTTGTTTTTCTGTCTATCTTTCGAGGACAAAAACTGCAACGACCACGAGCTATAACTTGTTTTTTCTTAGGTGGTTCTTCCAATTTTTCGCCAAAAAAGGTATTGATTTTTTCGCGCAAAATACGTGGGATTCTAGGATTGTCTTTTCGAACTTGTGCTTGCTCGCGTACTAATGCTAGTCCCAAATTTTTCAAATAATCTCGTCTTTTCAATTTATAGTCACCAGTATTGAACTTATAAATAACTTGCGAGTTAATACCTGCGGTATTCAGTAGACAAAACATAATTGTAAGAGGCCATCTTCTACTGTTGCGAGCTACGTTGTAGGATGCTGATAATTCATCTGTTACATCGACACCTGTCTTGGTTGAATTGTAAAAGGTTATAATTTCTGGAAGTTTCTTGTTGCCGGAATCTCTATCGATTGAGTTATCATGATGGAGCGATGAAATAAGTAAGACGTTTTTGCCCTTCTTAGGAATATATGACACGATCGATATGTTTTTACTTTCCTATCTGTATACAGATATAAGGAAAGTATAGGAATCATGATTTTTTTCGACCTCGAGTTTTCGACGGATTTTTACGTTTTGAGGTCCCCTGAATCCGTTTTGACTATTTTCGCGATGGTTTTCGCGAAGGTTTTTTCTATTGCAATCGACTCGTCTCGTCGCGCTGATTCGAACTGTACCTAGTTTATCGTAAAGTCCCCATAGAACCGGAAATCGCAAGTGTTAAATTAGGTGTTAAAGAACCGTTCTCTTAGAATCACTAGGTGGCCCCTATCTCTCTTTGCTTAGTGCTGCTATCTATAACGCTACGTCGTATATTTTTAAACCACCTTCTGGGGACATACACTCCAAAATATTAAATCATTCTATAAATAGCTTTGCTTTAGACAAGGTCAATAACTTTGTTCATAAGGTTTTTAAGAAAATGGATTAAATAAAATAAGTTCGACTAGTTAGTTGCATTTGTATAGTAATATCATATTCCAGTGGCCTCCGCATTGTATAGGACATGACTGTTCACTGCATCCAAGACGTTTCGTGTGTTGGTGACAGTTGAGCGGAATCCTCCCAAGGTGCTTTAGGGCTAAAGAATTCGATAAGGACATTTTTTAATAAAGTGACAAAGGGCCGTTTGTACCACTTCAACTTACGACTACGGTTTAGCTAAGGTGTACCTTGACTTAAGGTGAACCTTAAGTTTGGTATGTTTTGCATAGGTTTCACTTAACAAAATCTATGCTAAGGTGAAGAACAACTTGGCAGCAGTGTAAAATTTTAGAGAATTTGTATATTACTAATCAATGTCAGTGTCGAATTGTCATATATTTGATTAAAATTTGTGTTGTAATTTTGCACAGTTAAGATGAAAAATAAAAATTAAAAATTGAAACCAAGCGTGCACCAAACATCCAGTTAAAGAAAATAGTTTATTATTAAACATTCTATACCGTTATCAAAACTTTAAAAATATTGCGTTCTGTTATAAATCACTCGAGGTAATTACGAATCGAACAACCGAAAAAGTCTTTTTAAAAAATATTATTTTTATTTAAAAAATACAATATTAATAATCTTTGAACAACTTGTTGTTACAACGGCAAAAACAGAAGTGAATCTTTTGTGTATTACAATATCTAACAAGTGCTTAGAAACATGATATGTATTTAGATAAGATTCTCCTAGCTTGCGGTATTTCTGGGAATTGTAGGTATCTAACTCCTCCGTCCTTAAGAATCGAAAATAGAGGAGCTATTTTTGGATGTTGAATTTTGGGTTGGAATTTCTATTTCTTCGATTTCTTCTTTCTTCTGTTTTGTAGCTGGCTTGCGGCATTTAATTTTATTAATGCACAAAATTGCTATACAAATAATAATTACTATTGTAGAAAATGTCGCTGTAGTTGGAATAATATACTGGGTGTTTGTAGTTTCTTGTATTGGCTTCCGTTGACTGGAAATCTTGTTTATTTTGTATAACTCTTTGAAGTTAAATTTGGTTATATTTGCAGTTTGGTAGAGTTTTTGTGATTCAAAATTGGCTATTGTAAATTTTGGTAATATTAGTGGTTTGCCGTATTGGACCTGTTGATTATTAGAAAATTTCATTTCATCGATTGATATTTCACATCCATCTGGGATTTTGATTAATGATGGAGCTTTAACTTCTAGAAATTGATCTGTTTTACATTTTGATAGTACCTTTTCTGTTTGGAGTGGAATTATCAATACTTCGCTGGTGGTTATCTGTTCGATAATTGTTTCTTGTAGGTTGACCTCGGTTATGTGGCAGTTTGAGGGTGTTCCACCCTCCAAGAGGCGAAGCGTGCAGTTATCTCTCGGAACTGGGTTGTGCTGACAGAAATACAAGTTTTCTAAAACAGGACATTCTTCTTTCTGGAATTTCGATTCTTCAGCTGATCGTGCCAGATAAGGATAGGGAGGTGTTATCATTTTATTTCGTTGGATTATTGGATAAATGTGGAAAAAATCGAAGGAGTGTGGTTTTAGAATAGGTATATGTATAGCAAAAATTAATTTTGAGTCTGAAAAAGTGACTTGTGTTCCCAGGAACTGATAATAATTTAGAATGTTATGAAACTTAGGAATTTCGTTTGATTTATAAATTTTCTGTAAGTAGTTAATCATTTCTTTAATTTCAAGGCTTGATATTATTGAATTATGTAATGAATTTAATTTCGAGAAAATCATGACATTTTCTAAGCCGTCAATAAATTCGATCATATTCTGACAATCTAGGTTTATTTGATTTACCGTTGCTTCGAAAGTTATGTATCTTTCTATATTATTAATTTGATTTTCAATTGTACCTTGGAATCTTTCTAAACTAATTTGAAATTTTGCTTGATTTTGCCACAATATCGTTAATGATTTGTTATAGTGATCTATGAGTTTATTGAACAATGATATTTGTAAATTGGTTTCTTTTATTATTTGTTTTTGATTTTGTTGTAAGATTTGTATTGCATTGTCATATCTATCCCCATCTTCGGAGTCGAGATTTCCGAAAATCCACTTATTTACTCTTCCTAAGCCATTTATTAAGCCGCGTCTCGATCTGATATGAGGATGGATATTTTCAAGTTTTCTTTCAATAGAGTTAATTAGAATTTGTGTCCTTTCTAACATATTTTCGGCGAGTTTATGATACGATATTGGGTTTGTGGCATTCACACTTCTAATAGTACTCTTAACTACTAAAAAATTATGTTTTAAGTATTTTGCTTGTCTAACTATTTCGTTTATATCTAAATAGTAAATAAATGTATGTTTACTATACAGGGTGTCCTTTAAAATGTGTCCCAAAATTCTCAGGCAGATTCCTTAACCAAAAAATGGAAAAAAAGTTCCTATAGACCTATGTCCTAAAGTGCCCCCTAAGCGAGCAACAGCCTCTCGAAATCATTTTTTTTATTTTGATTTTTTGAATTTTCTTAAAAATGGAAACAAATAAAAGAACCAAATTTTGGCTGTTAAATATGATCAATAATAGTGACCTTTTGACACCTTCAAAAAGAAATTATTTCGTCAGGGGTGTACTTGGGAATTTTTTGAAAATTTTGATTATTCATAACTTTTTTGTGTTTTTGGTAATGACTTATCCATATTTTTTTTTACATTCTACATTGAAAACTACGTCAAAAAGGAATACTTGTTTGATCTCGATTGGAGCAGCCGTTTCCGAGAAAACATCATCCAAAGATATTCGTCCACTTTAGCTTAATTTTCAATTTTCCTAAATTACCTCGGTGAATCTCGTAAATAAAAATAACTTTTTTAGCTCTCTCTAAATAATTGTAGTTCAAATGTCGTGGTGGGACTATTTTTATTTAATAATAAGAAACGGTTTAAAAAAATATTTATTCTAAAAAAACAAATCAAAAAAAATTAAAGCAGATGCTCAATGTGGCGACCATTGGTTTCCACACACAAGCGCAACCGTCGCATCATAGACTGTCTTACACGAAAAAATACTTCAGGATTATTCCTAAGAACTTCGCAATGATGAAAAACTCGTTCTTCCAATTCTTCAACTGTTTCAACAGGACTGGAATAAACCAATGATTTTAAATAACCCCAAACAAAAAAATCCATTGGATTTAGATCTGGTGAACGAGGTGGCCAGTTAACAGGACAACCTCTGCCAATT